TTTTCGCGAATTCCTTTCCACGAAACCTCGACAATTTTCACGATTTTTGAACTCTTATATAGCGTGCGCGCGGGATATCGGAATCCACGGTCGAAATTATCACCTACATCCGACGAACGTATAATTAGACGCTTCTCCCGGGCGCGCCGAATAACACGGTATGACCGAGCTCGCAATTATTGCTGCAGCAACGGTCCACCAATCTCTCGAGAAGAGTTTCCTTCCTGTGTACATCACGCGTAATTTGCAAAAGTTAGGAATGCTTATAACTAAGCACATTTTTACTCCTCTGGCACCACGAGCGCGTATTCAACTTTTCGCGAGATGTCAATATTATTTTATGTCAATCGTAACAATCGACAGAATTTATTCTCTCTCTCTCTCTCTCTCTCTTACGAGGATAGTGTTCGTAAAAATACATTATCTCCCCTCAAAATTTAAAGATAACTTAAAAAAAGTCTAAATAAATAGAACCAGATTTTATCTAGAAAATGAAAAAAATTATCGAGTGTTTTACTAACATATAAACAACTTATGATAAAATGAAATATGTGGCCGTAAATTATAAATTTAAACAAATATGCAGATTAATGCATCCTTCTTACCTAATATCTCTTACACAGGTACTACAATACAATGTTCCAGGAGGAAAAAAACTACGCGCTTTTACGTTAATTTATGCCTACAAGCTGCTAGCACCAAGTGATCAACTTACAGAAGAAAACATTCGTTTAGTACGGATCTTAGCATGGTGCATAGAATTGGTGCGTAATTCAATTTTTTTATTCTTTACGACACTGATATATTTGATAAATTAATTCGAATTAATAAAACACAGTATATGAAGACATTTATTTGTTATACAGATGCAAGCCCATTTCCTCGTGATAGATGACATACAGGACCGATCATTAATTCGCCGAGGCCAACCATGTTGGTATCGATACAATGATATAGAACTAGCTGCAATTAACGATAGTTTAATCTTACAGAGCTCTATGTTTTATCTAATTCGAAAACACTTCAAAGGGAAAGATTGCTATGTAAATCTACAAGAAACATTCCAGGATGTGAGTAAAAATCTTTTCCTTCCGATCATACATGCGTTATGTATAAACGCTAGCTTATCTCTTCTTTTACGTTTTAATCGAGCAGTTATATATGAAAATATTTCGACAGATCACTTTCAAGACAGTGATGGGCCAAAGTTTAGATATGCTCTCTACCAATTTTGGCAAGAAACCGAATTTAGATCTCTTTACGATGAATCAATATAATGCCATTGCTGAGTACAAAACGTCGTATTATTCATTTCTTTTGCCAGTAACCGCAGCGATGCAGTTAGTAAGTGGCACCACATTTTCTTATGTACGAAAAAACTGATAAGTTTCGATGATAATTGTGATACATTGTGATACATTATTTGATGTAGGCCGGAATAAAGGATCCAGAGATGTTCAGGCAAACGAAAACCATCTTGTTAGAGATGGGGCACTTGTTTCAAGTCCAAGATGATTATTTGGGTTGCTTTGGAGATCCCGACGTCTATCGCAAGGATTTTACTGATATACAGGAGGGAAAATGTACGTGGCTGGCTGTTGTAGCTCTCCAACG